CGAGGTGGGAAAAGCAGTTAGCCGTTTGTCTGCCCAGCTCAAAAAGATAGCCTTTTGTCTGCCACGCCCAAAAAGATAGCCACTTGTACGTAGGGAGGGTCGAAATCTATCTTACGATGGAAAGAGTAACACCTGAAATTGAAAAGCGATACAGACGCGTATCGGTCTTGTTGTTTGGCCGGGCCCCGCGCGCGCGTCGGGGATGCCGCTGTGGGGTCCGGGCCCCCTATCCGTGGGGGGGGGGGGCACGCAGCGAAGCCACCGAGTGAGTCGTCATCGCACGGCATGTCTGCGGCGGCATTCCAACATTCCACACCTGAGTCATGTGATCGGCGGGGGTGGGCGAGGTGTTTCGCCCCCATCCCTCTTCTTCCCATGCCCCCCGCGGCTCGGGTGCTGCTCCCGAGCAGGAAGGTTTCAGTGCGCAGTCCCGGGCCATTAAAATCTACGGCCACTGAGCCGGAAGCGTTTCCAGGCTGATAAGACGGCGCAGAGGGCGCGTGGTGTGCGCGGATATGGGGCGCTAGGGTGCGAGTTTTCATGGATTTTATTTGTTCCCCCTGAAATTCGATGTTGTTTCATGAATTTCAAGGACGAGTGACGAGTTGGTACAACTCTAGGCAGCGCCGTTGAAGTCCCAAACTCTTCATATTTCAATAAGGCCCCTTGGAATTTTTCTCCTGGTAGTAGGGGTAGAAGGGATAGCAGAAAACCCGAGAAAACCCCTTGTATAACAGACAAATTTATGATATGACCTCAAACTCGAATTTTATGAAAACTATTTTACCCTGTGCTGGTGGTCCTCGGACGGTAATATGTCTGTGGGAGAGACATTGTCATCAATAAGACTGTGGACTGGGTATAATACATCTCAGAATTTATGGCCAGTTTTCATAGTTTGGCTTGTGTAAAATAAAATGCATCTAGTAAAGTTCTTGACAGTTTTCGTTGTTTTGCTTGTGTAAAGTACATCTAGGATATGCTGGCCTGTTTTTATTGCTTTTCTTGAAATGAACTTCCAGTTAAACTTCCCTCATTTAAAGATGCCGGTTAGTGACATACTGTTCATACTGAAAATTTGATTATCTGAGAAACTTCTGAAAACAAAGTTCCCGTACATGTCACTCTTCAAACTGATTTTACTATAAAGTCGACGCGCGCTCTGTTATGATGCTCGGTGTTATTTAAAATAAAGTCCTTCATTCAGACGACGACGGTGCGTCTACCTGTGTCTTCGCTGGCGGCTGCTGCTGCTACTAGGGGCCGAACTGCCGACGATTTCCTGCAGAATTTGAATTTCCTTTGGCTCGGCGGGAGCGAGGACCTGATGCCATTTGAATAACTGCGTTGGGCCGCGCGGGCGGCCGAGGCGGTACAGGCGACGCTGCCGCTGCGCCAGATTTGGATTTTCGGTCCCTTTCGTAATAATTCATGGACAAGAGGCTGATGATTCACGGAGTGAGGGAGCGCGCCTGAGATAAAGTGAAAGAGCGAGAGTGGGTGTGAGAGGCCGAGAGAGGGAGAGGCCGCGCTGCGCCTTTTTATGGGCCCGTCCGATGTGTGTTGCTTTCTTTTCCATTCACCTCCTTTTCAGTGCGCGCCACTGTACGTGTAACGGAAATTAGGTTCCCCTTGTTTATTGATA